TTTGCTTTAAAATGAATTCCCTATCTAATAGCAGTCAGCTTCCCTAAAATCACTGAAAGAATGTGCAGAAATATTTTTAAAAATTAAATATTTTTACTATAGCTCTGAAATGGTTTTAAATCCCTTTGTCAGTAAAGTAGCCTATATTGTTTGGATAATGAGAGGCATTCTTTCTCAAACTTGTGCCATAAACCTGTATGACATTACCTGCAGACTGTAACTCCAATGACCCCTTTTTCCTAATAGCTAAGCACGAATGCACAAGGGGAGTCCTTAAGTCCTCCACAGGCAATTTAATTAGAGCAGACACACTCCAACAATTTATGCAGCAGGAACTCAGGAAAACTGAGATCCTGTGGAATGGCTGCAGGCAGGTTTCCCCTCCCCAGAGCACCTACCAGCCAGCCCTCAGCGCTGCCTGTCCCTCGGCAGCACAGACACACACGGGGGGTGCCAGGGCCCCTGGTCACCCTGCCCAGCTGCAGCATCTCACCTCCTGCCACCGTCAGGGCCCTAAATCACCCTTCCTCCATGGGCCCAGGTAGCTGCCTGCTCACACCAGCCAGGGCACACAGGTCATTCTGACACCCCAGGGCTTCTCCTGTGACAGCAGGAGTGATGGCCTGAAGGAGGGCAGGAAGGGACAGCAGAGGCTGCCCATTTACAGGAGAAGGAATCTGCGTGAGGAATGACTGAACACATGCACAGACAGGTGTGGAGGAGTACAAGGCTCAGGCTTTCATCACAGAATAAACAGCATGTTTTAATCAGCAAAACTCACACTGACCTACAGCATCTCTCTGTGGGTCATCCTGCTTTGATTGCAAGGATTCAAGGAATAACAAGCTCCAGAGATTGCTTGAGCAATCAACAAAAGCATCTTCCCACTTGTTAGGATAGGACTGTGGGGCAAACACACTCTTTGCTCATAGCCCAATTCTCATTCCCAGCCCAGTAGCAGAGCTTACACAGCCACTGCTGTGCTGAGCACCAGAGAAAACATGACTCCCTGTTCCTTTTAACACACAGCTGCCCCAGCCAGCACCCCTGCTCAACAGGGAGCCCTGATGGCTACAAACAGCAGCTCCTACAGCAAACATGGCTGATTTTGTTATTATGCTAAAAAGCATCATCTCAGAAGAAACTGGGGTCCAAACTACCCCATGAGATAGTTAAGAATTAGTTCTTCAGTGAAGGAAAAATACTGATTTAACTCTTCCAGGTCTCTGGGTAAATCCTGGACAAAGAAACAAGAGAGATCTCCTTATGCTCTTCTGCCCACCAAAGTGCTGTCTAAACTATATGGGGCATTTCTGATCCATGAAGTTTTTCTGAGCTGCATCACAGTTCAGTCTGTACTGTATACCTCATGCTTAAATAGGCTCCAAAACAGGTTAATCAGTTACCTCGCAACCACCTGCAGTTTTTAAGTTTCATATTAGTTTTTTGAGGTCAGCAATCCTTTTTAGCCATGTCCAAAACAGCCTGCCCATCTGCCTTTATTTTTGAGAACTAGTAAATTCAGACATGCTTCCAGACTTTAAAATACAGCACAAACCCTACAGCTTCAGCAACTGTTCTGCTATTTTGTTGTTACACAGGTAGGCTGCTGTGGCTGCAGCACTAAAGCTCCAGATGACAATTCCTGCTGAATCAGCCCGTATCTACAGAAAAATAAGCTCAGTCCAAGTCAGCCATAGGTGCATATAATCCCTGCTGGCCAACAAAGCCCAGCCTCCCGGCCTCTCTGGAAAGCTGGCTCTGAACAAGCATTTAGAAGCTGGCAGTTCTCCTTGTGTCACGCTCCTGGCCCAGGTCTTTTTTCCACCCTGCCCTTTTTATTCTCCCAGTGCCCTTGCCCTGACCTGACGCACTCCCTTTGTGCTCACTGCTGAGCCAGTGGGTCCTGCTCACTTTGCGCCGCTAATTAACTTCAACAACAACGGTTTTTTCCAGCGGTTCTGTCCCAACACATTTATTTGGGATTTTAAATTCTTTAGATTTCATTCAGTCCATGTGCATGGTGGTGTCACAAGGCTCTGGGCCCGGCTCAGCTGGTCCCAGCCCTGGAAGGGCTCCAGCACCCTTGACACAGTGCACATAAGCCCGGAGGCAGGGCAGGAGAGGATGGTCCCAACAAAACAGTCACCCAAATAAGGAGCTACCCTCACTGCCTGCTCTTTTTAACACACAGCTGCCCCAGCCAGCATCCCTGCTGATGTCAGCCTGAACACGAGCCCTGATGGCTACAAACATCAGCTCCTACAGCAAACATGGCTGATTTTGTTAAGAACATAAAAATCATCAGCTTAGAACAAACTGGAGTCTATAACTACCCCACGAGTTAGTTAAGAATTAGTTCTGCAGTCAAGGGAAAAATACTGATTTAACTCTTCCAGGTCTCTGGGTAAATCCTGGACAATGAAACAAGAGAGCTCTCCATATGATCTTCTGTCCACCAAAGTGCTGTCCAAACTATACGGGGCACTTCTTATCCATGAAGGTTTTCTGAGTTGCATCACGGTTCTCTATGTACTGTATGCCCCATGCTTAAATAGTCTCTAAAACAGGCCAATTGTTTACCTTGCAATCACCTGCAGTTTTTAAGTTTCATATTGGCTTTTTATTTTTATCTCTTTGCTCCTGCAAATAGCCTGAAGGAAAATAAATAGAAAACATGACACAAGAGTAAGTTCCAGGACATGGAAAGAAAATGTTGCAGTCAAGTCCAAAATAAAGATGTGGACAATGAAGATGCTATCCTAAATACATGAGTGAGGAGCTTAAAACCAAATGCAGGGGAAAGCGGGATTTTATCAACAGGATTCAAGGCTGAGAAAAAACGTTAGAGAAACAGCTTGACAGCAGCACCTAAAATGAGCCAAAGGAAAGTGAGTGAAGGAGGGAGATGAAAAGATAGCAGTCATCAGTGGAAGGTGGACTGCCAGGGCTTACTTTCTTACATAAATGCAAACAGAAAGCTGTGCTACTCACTGGGTTCTACTGCATCATCTTTTAAACAATGGACTGCCTTTTGAGCCCTGCAGATCTCCATGCAACATGTGGCAGAGCCAAGACATCCTTTGCTCCACTAGACAAAGACTGACAAAACATCGCTGCTATATGATCCACAGGATAGACATCGGCATTCCCAGGGAATTTTATCTAATAAATCTTCTAGGCATATGAAAGGGCCTTTAATTTTATTGTTTAGCTGGAATTCAGTACAATTGCAAGGATGGATTCCTATCCAATATCCTAGACACATGAGCACCTCCCTGCTTTTCTACCAGCTTTGACAAAATGAAGCCAACTTGTTCTTTAGTTTTGCAATTATATGAATTCAGCTTAAGAAGACGTTTTGGAATAAACAGCATTTAATAAAAGCACGTTTCCTGGCAAATTTGATAGGATCACCGACAGAACTAGGGATCTGAAATACACTAAAAGCATTTTCAGGAAAGGATATTGCTACAGTAACAAGCTAGTCCAAATGCAAAATTCTAAGGGAATTAGACTGTAAGATGTAACAACACATACAGTACAGAGTCTGAACTTTGTATTTCATCCTGACCAGCTCCTGTCAACACCAAATCTGATTTCTGAACTAACTGCATCCTTACAGATCACTTCTAACAAAATCCACTACCCTTTCCTCCTACATAACATGCAAGTGATGCGTGCATAAACATGTGTATAAACATAAGTATCACCTGCAGGGAATAAAGGAGCTGTGACACCTGCTGAGGTAGGCTGTGAACTTTCTGCATAATAGTCTGGTACTTCCCAGGATACATTACAAGAAAGCAGTCTTTGTCCTTATCCCTGTGTTCCCTTCAGCACTCACTGCTGGACACTTGCAGAGCTTGGATATTGACTCCCATAGGTCTCTGCTCTTGGCCAGTATGCTCAGAGCAAAGGTCTTTAACAACAGAGACCATCTGAGAGGAATGAAAGCTACACCACTGCCCTCTGATCCAGAGGATGAGGGGCCTCTGGATTCCTTCCCAGAGCCAGATCCCTGCGGATACCAAGGAAGTACAAAAGGCTCTTCAGAAAGCCCTGGTCTGAATTCCCAGGATATGGGATGGACAGGGAGCAAAGAAACATGTTTGTAATTGTTTTCATGATGAGTTACAAGTTAAATTAGGAGGCTGACAAGAACAAGAAGCAGTAAGTGTTGTCCTTGAAGAGCGGGACAGGCTGTGCCCAGAAGGCTAAGGAGGACGATGAAAATGATGAATGCTGTAAAGTCCTGCTGAAAACACTGAAACCAACACCATCAGGGCATGGCTGACACGGCAAGGGTCCAGCAGGAAGGGGACTCAGTACAACCCCAGCCACAACCCAAATAAGGACAGCTGCTCCAACAAGCCACTTGAGAGAATTTCTCGGGGGATTCTATCATGATACTGGAAAAAGCGTCTATTTAATACCAAATGGATTGCTCCAAGTCTAGGGAAGAGGCAGCCCAGCCAAATCCTAAAGGAAAAATACAGAGTGTTCCCAGGGGCACAGCAAACCCACCCAAACTGCTCCTCAGCCACATGCCACCGAGATGGCGAGGTGCTGTGTAACACAAGATGAAATTCATCTAATGGTAAAAATAGTCTAAAACCTCTTGTCTGTTGAAAGATTCTGATTTTGCAGTTAAAACAGGCTTCAAATTCTGCAGGTCTGGAATTGTCCTGTTTGCCTTTACAGTGGCTGGCATGTTGGGTGGAGTCTCAATGCCTCCAAGATTGCCAAAATTAAAGGTAAATTAAACTAATTACTTCACAGTTATTTAGCAGCAAATAAAAAAGATTTTACCCTTGAGAAGAAAAGAAACCATAGACTAAGCAGTGCAATTCCTGGCAAGCACTGAGGACACTGATGATAAACAGCCCTGATGATCATTTACCTGCAGAAATGAATGTGCTTTCCAACCAGCAAAGCTGGTAAGCCTTGCTCCACGTACTTATGTAAAATTGCTGGCTTGTGAGATCTCATCCTCTTACCTGACATCATTGCCTCCATGGGCAAAGGATCCAAAGCAGGCTGTTAAGATCTGGAGGAAGTGGAAAAGTAGATGGACCTGAGAGGTGTCTTTCTCTTCCTTATCCTCTTCCACGGGATCAACGGGGGGCCGGTTGGGATCCGCGAGTTCAGAGGCCAGCTTCATTTCCACCCCGCCTTCCTCCGCCTCAATCTCCGCCTCCGCCACTGCGTTGCAGTAGCTGGAGTAGCTGTCGTAGCGGACTCTCTTCTTGGAGTAGGAAACAGTGTCCCCCACCAGCTTCTCGCTGTCCTCTGGAGTAGATGCATCTGCTGCCTTAAAGGAGGAATGCACGGGCATGCCACAGATAGCAGCAGTGTAACAGGTGTAGCTGTTGTTGCGCCGTAGGAGTTTGTAGTTGTTTTCTGCAGTGGGCCTCTCGTCGTTGGCCCTGTCCAGGTGTATTTTGTGGAGCAAGTCTTTGTATAAACCTGAGTCCTTGTGCACAGTGTGATACACGTGGCCATCGCTCCTCACGTGGCCATCGAAGCTGAAGGTGCCGTTGGAAACAGGTGATTTCACCGAGGTGTGCGTCACCGAAAATGCCCTTCCTAAAAAGGCAGAGATTCAGAGGTTTTGTTCACACAAAATGCAATACAAAAGGCCCCTTCCTCCAACACAAGACAATATTGTGGCCATCATCTGAGAAAACAGGACAAAGAAGATCCATTTGCACTACATGTAGGAATAAACCAAGATTCAATTCATTGCAAAATAAAGACTCTCATCTTCTGTGCAAAAAGAGCTTTGTTCCAGTCCTGAGTCTCCCCAGACATGCTGCATGACCTCCAGCAAATCACTTGGGATCAGCTATTTGAATCTGATACTTGATGGTTAAATCCTCAGGTTTTTTGAAAATATAAATTTCCAATAAATTCCTTTCTTGTAAAGCAAGCTCTGCTTTTTCTGAGCTTTTGTCTACATTGAATAGGAATAATTAGGATTTCTGAAATGCAGTTTACTGCATTTTCATACTGGGACCTATCTGTTTAAGAGACATTTAATTCATACTCATTTGTTTAGGAGGCATTTACATAGCTTTTAAAAATAATTAAAAAAAAACAAATTAAAAAATTCACATTCTTCAGAAGTATTTCCTTAGTTATTGCAATATTTTCTATATACTAGTTCTATGAACATGATGATGTATATTCCTACTGTATGCATTTAATGTTAGCATACACTGCAGGACACACATCAAAATGTATCACAGGTAATATTTCTGAAGAAACTGTCTTTTTCATTTCCTGACAGCCTGGATTTTCATTGTGCAACATTCAGAACTGGGTTTAGCTATTTTTAAACTGGAAGCACACACTCTAAGGCTCCACGTCATGACTTATTTGATTTTGTAAGAACCAGTTGAATATATCAGGCATTTATTAACCAAATTACAGGGCTTTGTAGATGTTAGCAAAGCGATATCAAAGTCAGCAGACCGCTGAGTGGAGGGGGGTGTTCCCACCACGTGGCAGAACAGAACGAGCTTTATGCCCAAGTCTACTTCTTGCAAACATATGTTCAGAAAACAATGTGTGACATTTTTCCAGTGGACATGCTCCAAATGGTCATACATTTATCAACTAAAGTCCAAATCTTTTCATCTCCTTTTGTAGTATGCTAATCATCTTTATGCTGAATTTAACCTTCATACATCAGCAATCTGTGTGCTCTGTATTTTTCCACTGCTTGATAGGACGGAAACACCATTAAGAATACAAAGCAAAGCAACGCAAAAAGGCAAGTCATTTTTTTTCAGCTGTTTCTAAAACTGAAACACAGCCAAACAAAATGTAATTGATTTTACGTCCTCTCCAGAAAATGTCACTTGTAAATGAGCATCTTTCCAAACAAGCACTGAAAAGGGATTAGAGATGGAAATTCCAAACCCCAATTTACTATTTACAGCAGAGACCTACTTGAAGTTAAGAAACCTCATTGAAGCAGGAAGAGAACAAACCGTCCAAGTTGTCTTAGCTCCTTACCATAGGGCACACGTGGATGGTTTCCATTTGCAATATTATCTGATGCCCCAGCAGCTTCTGTTACTGAGCCAGTAAGGGGAATCGTGCTCTCATCAGATGCTTTGGCACCAGGAAGCTCTTTAAAGACTGGTGTTTCTTCTTCCTGAATTTTATCAAGACTTTCATCTGATATCCTTGACAGTGCAGCATCTTTCTTTAACCGGCCTAAGGAAAGAATAGCACTGTAATTTTAAACCCAACCTACACCTCTCCTTACTTAAGTTTCCACTGTTTGCATCAACAGCATGGTTTAACTTGGCTACAATAACCAAGCTTTGTTTCATACACTCACTACTGATTTCTAACACTCTACTATGTTCATGTGTGAAAATTCTAGAACATTTTTGTTTCTTCTGATAAAATTCACCAAAGTAGTTAACTGAAGAAAATACTGAGCTGTTCATCTGTTAATGAAACCTGACACTTTTCTCTGCATTTGTTGAGAGTAGCAAAGCAACCAAAGCTGTGATCAGCCCAACTTACTGTAAAGCTAAAATAGTCACTTAAAGATGATCATTCTGACAGGCTTTTTCTCTAATTTTTTCTTAATAAAATATAAAACAAATTACATTCCAGGTTTTATTTTGCTGTTTCTGCTAGACTTCAGAACTTAGTACTACAATGGCTTGCCTAACAAGGTTTTGAATTTCTACCACTGCAGCTTTTTCAGAGCAAATTACACAAAAACATGAGGAATAGTTTAGGCACCTCCTGTCTGTGGGAACTGAACTAGGATTCAGTTCATGGAATATTACATTTCATCAAATAACTACTTACTTTCTATTTTTCTCTTCATCCAGGGACACACAAAAATCCAGACCAAGACAGCAAACACTAAGGACACACCAATTGATATTAGAGCAATGGCCCACATTGGCAGGATCAGTCCCAGTACTGCAAAGACAAAGCAATAAAACCAAAGCAAGCCATTAATAAACATGACTTAATTATCCCAGGCAGTGGAAGAGCAGTCTGTTGCAGAAAAGCCAGTGTCCACAGTGTATTCAAAGCCAACATGAAGGAGCTGATGACTTTTAACACATTACCAGTTACTGCAGTATTTAAAGGCACAGTTGACATGAAAACATTTGCAGGTTTAGTCTTCCAGTTTCCTGTTTCCCCACTGTGATGTTATTTCCCAAAGAGCCCCACGTCAGGGCTGCTAAAACAAGTTTGCAGTGCTTTTATAAATGAATGCACATTAAACCACGTTGCCCATTAGGGTTAAGTGTTTACCTGACCCTTGCTCTGGTCCATAAAGCCTGATGCCTAGCTTGCTCTAAGCCCTTATTTGCTTGCAATAGGAGCTTAATGCAGCTGAGGCTTTGCCCTGCAATGCACAGCGACATCAACAACTCATGTTTCTGTCATTATTCCCCCAACAGAGATCCTTGCACTTGTTCAATGAAACAATCTAACTCTCAATGAAGAAAGAGCTTGGACTCTGATCTTTCAAACCCATATACACATTGCCTATCTTGAAACCTACATGATTAATTCATCCTTGTGAGTAAATGTTGCCAGAACAGAGGCCTTGGAGAGTAAATATGTTTTTCCCCAGTATCGAAAATGGAGTCCCACCTTTTTATTCACACACTTTAGAGACTGCTAAGCTGAAACAGAGGGAACATTAAGATTCTTATTTATTTTGCTTAATGAGTCAGTGCAGAGTGCCTGACCTACTTCTGCAGTACAGCTAATGAGGAAATGTGAGTTATACAGCTGATTTACTGTTAACCATCTTGGATACACAGCCAATTAGACTTAAGAGAAATAGTAATGTTACCTTCAAATTGGGAATGTCTCAAGTTTTTATTAATTCCAGTAATGTTATGCTATGGAGTAGGGTCTACCAATTGTTTTTATCTAGTACATCTAATATGTTGGATTTTAGAGAAATATTTCCATTTAAAAAAGGTCACTTTCTAAGCCTGCTTTCTTAATTCAGGGCCATGTTCAGGAGTCTATCTTCAATTGCCTCTTCATTCATAGTTCTTAGACAATAATCTAACCTAAAGACAACATTTAATGATCAGAGTCTTCAAAAAAGTAGTTGAGATCACTGAACATCTTTGTTCTGAACCCTTTTGCTAGAAGTGTGTGTTTAAATATACACCACTACAGTAAACTATAAAAATATAAATGCAAATACATAAAATGTGAGAATATAAATATACAAACATAAATATAACAATATAAAAATTCAACTAATACAAAAATTCAGATATAAATATATATATACACGAATAAACACAAACATGTAAGTACACATAAAATATATAAATATATAAAAATATAAAGTCCTTCAACTTCATTTCCTTCTACTGAGTTGCAATCAAAACACAACACCAAAGACAGGAGATGCATTCAATGAAGAAACAGGTTTGGGAATTCTTATCATTAAAGGAAAACAAAGAAGTAAATTTAAATAACAGTCTTGGAGCCAGACGTGCCAGGACAGCGACTCTGCTGATGTCAATGAAGGAGTGAAGGTATCACACTGAGAGCAAACAGCACCTGCTCTCCCACCCCACTCTGAACCTTCACTCCCTGATGCACAAACCTAGAACACCTTTGAGAGCTCAGCATGTGCTCAGATTTACAAAGCCAAAGCTGCCTCTCAGTAACTTCCCTTCATCTAAAGAGGGATTCTTTTCGTAGCTGTGCTCTTCCCCACTAACCAGAGCAATCAGGAGGGTGTCACAAAAACACACGCACAAACAGAAGCACGTGGGGAGGTGAATGATTTACTCCTGCCCTTGTTAACTCCTAACACAGGAGGATATAACCCTGTGGTGTCTGGGTGACACTGGCAGAGCATCCCTACACACTGTGGAAGCCTCCCTGCCGTGCCTCCCCGGCTCACTCACCTGGAGCCCCAGTGTACATGATAGAAAACACGTTAATAGCTATGGTAGCAGCATAAAACACCGGGAGCGCGCGGAGACCATTGGGCACGGGGTCTTCCTGCAGAGGAACCACAGAAAAAAGTAAACATTAGCTGCATTTCACACAGATTATTCATGTCAGCATGAACCTCCATGTGGAAAACATGCACTCCCAAATCAGTGACAGGCAGATGGAGCTTTTGGATGTTAAGGAAAGGAGAGTGACCTGCTTGGTTACACCCAAGTCCACAATGCTGGTCCTGGCAAGTACCAGCACTCTGGGGGAGCTTGACACTGTCAATGGGAACCAGGGACTCATGTTGTACTTTCCAGTCAGCTGCTGAGTGACCTGGGGGTAGGTTTCTTTCTGCAGGTGTGTTGTCACTTATTTTGTGTACAAGATGAGGAGTCCCTTTCACTTAGCTTTGATGTTTTGGACTTGTGCTACAAGCAGCAATGCAAGACATCCATCTCAAAACCATATTCCCAAGCTCTCTTCTTTGACCGAGACAGCCTGGCACTTCCTACCAGCTAACAGAAACCCCTGAAATCCCAGGTGTCTGGCTGCATTAGGCAGGTGACACACACAAAGTGAGCAGGCAATGTTTAGCACAGCACACTGTCTGCTGCCCTCAGCACTCACAAGGAAAGACTCAGCTGAGAGAGCAATGGAAACGCCGCGTGTGAGCCACGGAGAGAGCCTTTGTGAGGGACTGCTCTGGTCTTTCCAGGGGCTCCACGTGTTTGCAGAGAGCCTGGCAAAGCTGACGGCTGGCTAATGTGGTTTCATTTCTCGCTGCCATGAGCTGTACAAGGGAACTGAGAAAAGGCTGTGGTCCCCCTGCGCTGTGCCTGGTCCCCAAGCAGGATGCAGATGGGCTGCATTTGCAGGGCCAGATGCTATCCACTGACATCCCCAGCAAGGGCATGGAGCCCTGTAACAGGCCACAGACTCACAAGCCAGAAAGCTGTTCTTTTTTCATGCATGCACACAAGTCACTACCTGCTTATGTCAGAAGTTTTACAGATCTTACTGCTTTGTGAATGGCACAGACTGCAGTTGGGAGGCAATTTCTTTAACTTGAATTTTTCTGCCTCTTGAATGCTTAAATATACAGCTTTAATACCGGAGTTCACATGATTTTGATGGCTAATTTGTTAAGTTGCTAGGCTTTAAATACAATAGTGGAACCTTTCCTTATCTTTCATGCGACTTGAGTTATTTCTTATTCAAAGCTGAATCTTATCAAATCTATCATCTGTTTTTATCACTGACATTTATTTAGCGCAGAAATAAAGAACGATGAAGCTGAGGTTACAGGTGGTGCTATTTATAGCAAAAGAATTAATCCCTCATCTATTTAAGTTCCCTGTATAACGGCTAATATAGTGTCGCTTATTTTAGGTCACTGCCATGCTCTTCACTTGCCCATTTTAGCAAGTTGAAGGTGTGAGAGAAATGGAAAAGGCAGTTCAGGTTTCCAGACCATGCTGGGTGGCAAGCAAGTCATCTTTTGCACTGGGGAGACATTGACCAATGTTACTTCAGGTCACTAAAACCCATTGATTCAGGTTTCTTGAGAGTCTACAAAATAGGCAGATGCCCATATTTCTAAAGCTGGAAAACCAAGACTTAAAATTTCATGACTTTAAAATCCAGTTAGAGTATCTCCAAGGGAGACTGTTCTGTTTAAATTACAGAGAGAACAGCAATTGTGAGGCTAAGTCAATGCCAGCAAGCTTGTGCTAATACAGAAGCAGCCTCTGACCTAACAGAATATACAATATTAATTATCACATAGCACCTTCTAAGCCTCAAATACTTGTCAAATTACTTACTGAGAGCTTTCAGAACTGTTAAGAGCAAGTATAACTCAAATGGCTGTTAAAAAAATGACTGGTCTCCTGTCCAAAAAGAAGTCATAAACTTTCAACTATGGAAATGGCAGCACTCAATGGGAGGCTAAAACACAACCTTCATACTAAGCACTCGTTTTAATAGTGAGATTTCTTTACCTTGTTTAAAATGAAGAATCTGATCAGCACAAATAGGATTCCAGACATCAAGCCAGATAACAGTGGGGAAATAAACCAAGAGGCAACTGTGTTGAAGAAAGAATGAAACTTGAAATAAACAGTATTCTTGCATAATAGTTAAGTACATTGTTAATGAGCAATAAATTTAAAACAATTCTTGTACAACTGGAATGAATGTTCTGTACGTTTACTTACAACTGGTGCAACTCAATGTCCACTGACACTCATGAAAGTCAAAGTAATGCTAAGCACCATTAGAAACAACAGCCAAAGCATATCCTGCTAATTTTGCAAGTTTAGCAATCAAACTCCTTAGGAAAGTTTCTTGTAGTTTGAATCAGAGCAGACCAAGAAAGTACTGTAATTTCCTAATCACCACGACCATGAATGTCGCAAGCAAATGGAAAGCAACTGCATCTAGTGGGATGACTGGCTGCTCCCAGGGTAAGAGTCTTGAGTTCCAAAATGCCACAGGAACATCAACTGTAATGTATGATGCATGTACATTTTTTGCAGGCCAGCACTGCAAGTGTCCAGGATGATTTAACTGAAGTAGGTGGCAAAGCTCCCACTGATTTCAATAAAGCCGGATTAGGGCAGCACTCTGGAAATCTCATCCACAGTGATTTATTGTTTGCAGCATGGTCAACAGATTGATTCTGCTGTCACTGAAAACTCTTTTACTATTGACAGAATTTTAAAAAAGCACATGCATTGCTGAAGTTCTAATATATTACCATGCCTTCAGGTACAGGGCATGGTAATATATTAGAACTTCCTTCTAATAGAGATTTTAGACAGCACCTCAAGTTCCAAAGGCTTCCAAAATAATAAGAAAACACTCCGTCCCTGCTTGGATGTGCCATTGTTCTTGGCAATAGGAGGCTGTGAGTTTAACATGCTGTGCGCCCTGAAGGTGGTGGTGGGTGGAGAAACATGACTGTGGGCATTCACATGATAGCATTCATATTGTTGAGAGCAAGAACAGGGTAGTATGAGCTGCCTCAAAGAGAATTAGAAGAGGAGGAATGTCACCTTGAGGCGTGTTTCTTGAGGGATAGTGTGCCCCCAGCTTACCACTGGGGAAGTACACCTTTTGCCTTACCCCCTTCTCCACTGGAGACACACTGCAGCCCTTAATGAACATGGCACCAGTGCATCTTCTGAATGATGTGACAGGGGTGGAAAATAAATCAATGAGAGTGTGCTATCAGCACAAAGCAGATTTCTGGGAATGTTTTTTGCAGGCAGCACACACTATTTCACACACCCTCACACATAAAAGGAGACAGCACTTACCAATCTTGACAAGCTGCATCCACTGCACACCCTGCGTGCCAATTGCCACCAGAGAAAATCCAATCGTAGCACCTACAATGCAATGGGTCCCTGATATTGGGAGCTTCAAAAACGATGCAATTAGCTGCCAAACAGCAGAACCTAGAAACAAATGAACCATATGGTATAAACAACAGCAACAATAATGTAACGCAGAAAATTCTTTACCACGTGCCCACATTCTTTTACAAGTGCTGCCTACACTCCTCATGCATAAGAGAGATCTTCTAAAGAGGGTTTTGTTCCTGTTCTGTCTCTAAAAGCAGCTACTAAGACAGTTTAATAGCAGCTTTGAATGCTACATCTTACTTATGACTGTTTATGACTAAGAGCTCCCCACAATCCATGACAGTTCTGCTTTCAGTATTTACAGCCTGATTAAGTACACAAACTGCTCCCAAACCTCCCTCTTGAGAGCTGACCCTGGAAGCCTCCAGGTGATCACCGTGAGGAGGCATTCACCTTTCACTAGTGAACCACCCATGCTCCTAAAGCTGGACACTACCAGAGAAAGGTTCAAATTGTGGGACAGAGAGATTTCATGCTTCATCTCAGAGATATACAGCCATCCAGTCCTCAACAGGAAAAATGGACCGAGGAAAGAATACAGACTCTCTCACTGCCTTCATCTGCAGTGAGAAATTCAAGAAGGATTCCAGGAGAAATTCAAGACTGCTGAAAAGGCTTATGTTAGTCATGGAGAAGCCAAAGGTACCCTGGCATAAGGAAATAAGTTCCCCTAACTAAGGGACAGTGGGTAATGGTCTGTAAAGTAAATGCCACATCTGGCATTCCAGCAAGAATTCCAGGAAGAATGTTGGCCAAGAGCACAGGAGAAAAAAAAAGTATCCCAAGCACCTCTTTCAGGAGTTAGGTCAGACACAGCTGGCCACCAAGCTCTCAAGCATGCAGCTTCATGCTCTGACTCCTTTCACTTTCCAAAGACACAAGATCCCTGCTCCTCTTGCAGCGGCACTAACCTCAGGACAGCAAAATACTTCTGAGAGTGACACCAGCTTTCTGTGGACCCCCCCCTAATATTAGAGAATTCTTACAAAGACCTCATTGTAATACTTCATGGCCTTAAGACTAAATCTTCGTGTATTGAGTCACCAGTGGCAGCAATCAGACTGCCATAAGAGATCCTGAATTTTCTGGCTCATGCCTCCTCCCTTAACAGATCTGCAGCAGATACAGGTGATAAAGCAAGGTCACTGAACATATCCTGGCAGACTACCCAAAGTTTCAAGCTCCATCCTCAATTCCAACACGAGAAGATGGTTTGAAGGTCTTGAAACAGAGCCATCTGCAAACAGTGATTTGCTGGTATCGTATGTGGCTGCATTTGGAAGTCAACCAGTTTGTAAAACTGATCTCTCCTGGCATACTATCCCAAAACAACTGTTACTTCTCTTGCTAGTGGAAATTCTAGATCAATCAAGGAACACCTGCTCTTCAATTTTTTGGCTTCTTTTCCCCTGTACTAAAATAAAAATAAAAACAAAAACACTTTGAAACCTTTGACATGAACTTAGAGATCAGCAAATGGAAGTGAGGAGAAGGAGAAATCACGTGGTTACATCTGAAAGAAGCCAAATAAAAAGATAAGCTACCTATAGCTATGTAATTACAAAATAGTATTAAAAAAGGGGGAAATGGAACCAAGCCACAGCTGCACTGCAAATGTCTGGTGAGGACTGGGTTTATTGTCGGGGGAAACAGAGGGACTACGGAACTATTTCTTGTTTATTTAACTTCATAGAATCACAGAATGGTTTGTGTTGGAAGGCACCTCAAAAATCATCTAATTCCAAACCCCGTGCCATTGGCAGGGACACCTTCCACTAGAGCAGATTGCTCTACTGAAAACAAGCAGCAGAGAAAGAACAGGTGGTGCAGGACCAATGGATGGCCTGAGAAGGACAATGCATAATCTAAAGAAGTTTAGGGAAGTGTTAAGGAATAGAAGAAACTACAAAGGAAGCCAGAGCAAGACTTTACTCTGGGACTTGCAGTGCTTTAGCTACCTACATCAAAGCTTTAAATCCTCTTTAACATAAAATGTATGTTCTCAATTTTTACCTTCGCAAAACTAACTTAGGAAGCAGGAGGCTCACTAGGCTGGGTCAGAGAGTCCCAAATTCAGACCCTTCATGCCTGTGGACACTGTGGCCCACACCCTTTCCTCTGGGTCAACATCCCCTGAAGACAGAGGGCTGGCTGCAGCCTGTCCCAGCGTTTGGCCAGGGTGCATTTCACACTCCCCTGCCACTGAGGGCACCTCGTTCTCCTTGGGCTCCAGTGCTCAGTGCCAGCTGTGAGCCCACACCAAACGTCACGTCACCTGCAGGACTAGATTAGTACTTGGCTCTGCTAATCCTGGCTGGGATGTCCTCTCTGTTGGTGGCACCTCCTCAGTCGCATCAGCTGCTGACTTCAGCTCGCACCAGAACCTCCAGAACAACACACGGGCAGGTCCTGACAATAACCTGACAGCTGATTGATGCTGGGCAAGTACTACAATCTACCCCAAGAGCAACAGTCCTTAACTTCTCATCTGCCAAATAAACAACATCTGAATGCGCTCCAAATTACTACAAAATGCTACATATTAAAACTTTAATCCCATTACTTCCCGCTTCCTTTTCTCTTAGGAGAAAAGGCTGACCTGAAAATTACATCTGCTGTTTGCTGCAAGCATCAAAGGATCTTCCACCAACATCTGGAAAGAGGATACAGTGACTTTTGGTCTCTCCCAGACTGTTGACTCATTTAAGCCTCATTGAAATTCAGAAGCTAAATCCATTTGCAAAAACATGATCATGAGACATGAGAGAACAGGGTGGGGGAAAATGCAGAGCAAAAACAGAAAAAGTAAACATCCAAAAAGGCTAAGAGAAAACACAGAAAAAATATCATACATCCAGAGAAAAGCTGGAGATGGATTTGAGGAAAAAAAATACTGAAATCTGCATTTTGTAACTTGTGATTAATTCTGAGACTTATAATGTGGAATTTCTTCCTAATGCCCCTACTGGAGGAAGGGAATGCAACTGGTCATGAAGTTCACACAGGCTTATGTAAATAGGCATGCAAATAAGTTGTTTTCTTTGAGCTTCTGGCCAGTTGCCTCTGCAGGGGGTATCTGAGACTTAAAACTTTGCTCTGCTAGGATCAGGAGAGCAGAAATAGATCCAGGGAAGAAAACGGACCCTTCCTTCAAAGGGAATCGGGAACACGCAGGTCACTCACGCTCCAGGCGCTGTGCAGGGCTCCCAGCTCACCCATGGGAGAGCCTGAGCCATCTCAGCAAGCACAGGGATAACAGGTGCCAGTGGGATGGGGCTAAATAGCCACCCTGCACCTTGACGGAAAGAGCAAACACCTCCAGGTGACCCTGCAAGGGATCAGGAGAGAGGAGCTGATGGGGTGGGGGGGCAGGAGCACCTGAGGAGGGTTCAAGTGGGACCATCTGTGGAAGTGGCTGCTGCCCCAGTGATCTCGTGGTGACCAACCCCTCTGCCCCTTGGGCAAGGAAAGGTGCCCAATCTTCAGGAGGCTCAGAAACAGCCACAGAACCAAGGGAACTACCTTCCCACTCTCAGGCACACAAAGCCACCTCTGACAACTCCCGAAACTGTCACTCAATGTCCATTTCGAACCATAAAAAATAAAAGAAATTTTTTTAAAAGGCACTCAATTTTCCCTTTTCCCAAAGGAAACAGGAAAATAAGCACATGTAGTAAATCTCTGCACAGACTCACTTAACTCCTGTGCAGGTTTCACGTAGAAAGTGCGAGGAGGTTAGAAGGGATAGGTGGAAATAACATTTAGGTCAGGTTCAAGTAGGTTTAAGGAAGAAAATCTTCACGTGGAACATCCCTCTGAAGCAGAGGATGCTGTGGTGCCTGTGTAAATCACCAGGCTGCCAGACCGAGGTGGGAGGGCTGGCCCCTTGCCGGGGCTGCCTCTCCCACTGATAAAGGGTTTCCTCCTGCTGCCCTTTAAGAGCAGGTTTGCTCCTGGAGGGAGCTCTCTAAAAGCTCACAAAGCCTCTTGCACATAAACAAAGAGTAAATACCGTGGCTTAATGTTACTTACCTCAGAATATGCTGTTTGTTCTGAACAGAGATTTAGTTAACTACAACCACAAGCAAGGGGAGCAGACTCTAAGGGCTGACCTGCTGTCGTTTGGGTCAGAAAAACTAAAAAGACCTTAAATGTGTGATTGTCTTTACTGCTCCCTTAGTTTTGCAGTGGGTAAGGGTGAAACGTAGGACTAATTGCAATCACTCAGCCAGGCAATCAGTTTACAGAAGTGTTTGTATTTTCTGAAACTTTTTAAAAAGGATTCTTTCTCATACACACTCATTGCAAACTGCTGATTCTGTAGGATCTTCTGTACAGACACAAATGCTAAACTTTTATATTTTCCATTTATTATCACAAAAATCTCCAAAATAATTTTTTTCAGTGTCTTATACACATATAGGATCCACTGTGTTAAACATTCCTTTTCATCTGTTAGTTAAGTGGCTGAACCACTGAAAAATGTAAATTTTTAGAAGTATTTTAAAAAAACATAGGAGACTTTAAAAGGAACACAGGCCCCTGCATTCACACAAAAACAGATGTGCAGGTCCAGAAGATGGGAAGACTGAATTAACAATGCTCAAACATTACTTGGAATAGGAAAGTGTTACTTACCAACCATTGCACTCACTTCTCCTGCCATCAGCAGCGGGACAGTGTTGTTGTACAGGTTAACATCAATGATACCTTTCCGAATTGTTTCTCCTACTTTCGCTCCCAGTAACACTGAGCCAGTGGTTTCAAAAACTGAAGCCAAAATGCAAGCCTGGCGTAAAGTAACAACACCAGAGCCCACGGCCGTTCCGAAAGAATTTGCAACATCATTCGCACCGACAGAAAAAGCTAAAATAAAAGCAATGATAAAACCCACAATGACCATCCACAGGTACTCATCCATTGCCATCTTTCCCCAAAGTGTAGATTAGCTTCCCCTTTGCAAATAGTTAATAGTCAAGGCTGGAGGGCACCGCCACGGATTTGGAAAGCAGATTTCTTGTAAACAATGAGTTCTCTCTGGAAAGTGCTGGGTAGTGTTAGAATGTGAAGAAACTGCTAACTGCTGATTTTCGAACTACTATAAATACTGTTCATTTGGCTGCCTTCGGTCAGCAGTGAAACACATTCCATATTTTGCTTCCAAACCGGTAGGACTGCGATGTTCTGTCCTGCAACAGAGGAAAAAAAAAGAAAAAAGAAAAAAGAAAATTAAAATAAAAGGGTGGAATACTCAGCAGAGCTCATAACAACGCGTGTTTTCAGAAGTAAACAGATGATTTAAACCCATTAATGGGGTCCTACCTCAGCATGTGACTGCTCTAATCATAAAGCAATTCAGAAAGGATTCAAATTAGGTCACCTCCAAAGCAATATGTTTCTTGCAACATCACTGACAAAGAAACTCTTTTGAGCAATTTAAAAGGATTTAGAAAGTTTGAGAATTTGTTTGTGTTGAATTTACCAAGCAGGGCAACAAGCCCCCTTTCTAGCAGGACGATTTCTCTTGGCTTTTGCATCCAGTGAATATAAGACAAAGGGTGCACAGACCATACCACACAGCCTGACTCCCAGCTGATACAGAACACCTGACCACTGACCTCAGCAGAGCTCTCAACATTTATCAGCTGCAGCCATGGATATGCTCCTTTGAAAAATCATTTTATATGCATGTCTGTCTAGGAAATACCACTGAAAATACTCTGAAGAACATTAATATTCATCTGTTGTTGCTATCACATCCCATGCTGCAAGAATACAATTTCTTTGAAGCTTTTCAGCCACTGAAACAGCACAATAATTTCAATATTTCCATGTATCATTACTGGTTTAGAGAAGTTTATGAAAAAGGTGCAAGGAAATCATTGAACTTTGTTTTTTCCTATAGATAGTTACAAATTATTAACAGTTATTATATTCAAACTATTGTCACAGATATCTTTGTGTATTTATTTTGACAGTTTTTGACTGCCTTTTGAATTACATCTTTCTTAGTCCAATAGAAGAGTAAGCTTCTTCAAAGCAAAAAAAGGATATGGAGAAAGGGAGTTTAAAAAATAAAACCTTCATCATCCAAAAGACTGTTAAATAGAGTGATCAGGCCCACAGTGACAGGAAGATGGTCAAAAGCTAGAAGCAAATTTTCCAAATCCCCTGCCTCCTCCAAGGGCCAATTCCCTTCTGTTACTGGCCCCCACAAAGATGTCCTGTGGTCCTGTGGCAAGGGGTTAAATGAACGTTTAGCAGCAAATCTGCATCAGCCAACTCCACCTCTTTGAAAAGCACTTCCAGAGAGCAGGGCATGTCAGATTAAAGCCCTGAGCCCACCTCATGCTCACTATTTCCCCACAGTCACTCCAACACAATGTTCCCACATGGACAGTTTCAAGATCGTATTTAATTTCTTTCAATGATCCAAATGCAATTTGGGTCCTGCAGTAGCAGGGAGGAAGGGTCTCTGAAACCCCTGAAATAACAGCAAAGTTAAAAAATTAAAAGAGATTTTGCATACTCCTGAGGTGCTGCATCCTTGAGAACAACCAGGAGGAAAATAAAATCTCTATCCATAAGTGTTTCCTAGAAAACTCTAAAATTGATGTCAAGGACTGATGCTTTCTCTACAGAAACATATTCTGCAAGAAAAGATGTCCCTCTTTCTTTCTGCAGGCTCCAAACTGGCTGGACAACTGTTGCTCCAGTCTTTTCCAGACATGGAGCAGACATCAATCCTTGAATGCCTTACACTCTAAAATAACATTTCAGAAGGTCTTAATGGCTAAAAACATTTGTATAAGGATTTTTATACTATGAGATAACATGAGAAAATGAAGCACCAAAGCATGTTTTCTGTTTGAAGACTTGTTGCTTTTTTATAATTCATGAGCACTCAGCCCATTGAGTAGAAAAGGACTTGACAGAAACAGAAAAGGCTAATGATATTTGGAAGAAACAATTACAGTTAGCACATGTTTGCCTGTGAATGAAGACCAAACCCCACTAAAAGCATTTGTTAAAAAATTTCTATTATGCATGTCAGATTTTTGCTAGGAGATGAAGTTCTGGACTAGGGTCCTTCCTTGATCCTGGAGATTAATGATTAAATTCTTCTTCTTGCATGCATTTCCACAGTACCTTTGCCAAGTTAGCCTCAGTGCCCCAGTTTCTTCTCCTGAAAATGGGCAAAGCTGACTGAGGTCCACGCATGCACCCACAGACTGTGTTTATACAAGACCCATTTCTTTGGACCAGCTAGATAAAAGCACACCCTTATTCCCAATAGAGATCTGTCCTTCCTCCACTTATCAACCAACCTACCAATTTATTGTGGTGGCCCAGTTCCTGGGAGTGAGAGAAAGAGCAGGGCCATTGTGACATTGCCCCACCACAAGAGAGTTCATGGGACAATGTTTGCCAAATCTGGCTGCTCCAGCCAGGGCGAGTTCTTGCAGTTTCCAAAATAAACCGCTAAGTCACAAGGTTGCCTTTATTAGCTTCCCTGGGAGGAGGGTGGGGTGAACTCCTCCAGATGGTCTCGAAGAAATGAAGACTTCAAGAGTGCGTATGTGCGCTCCTAAATCGCCTCATGGAGGCCGCAGAGCCTCCAGGAGACTGCCAGCAGGGCTTCTGGCAAAGGGCGCTCAGAGGCAGCTCCACAAACTCCCTCCCTGTGAAATAGGATACGTGGCCTCAGGAGAAAAGGATGTCTTAAGTAAGAAGTCACCCCTCCTGTCATTTTATGCAAGGTGATGGTTCAAAATAGAGCTTCCTCCAAAACTTGAGAGGCTCAACTGTGTTGGCACATGCAACAGCACAGCAGCAGCCAAGCAGTGTCTTTAACAAGATGGAAGTCAGAAGGAAAAAGGAAATAAACACATGTTTAAAAATTACCATGTAGGCTGCCTGTGAAGGGCTAGGTGTTACTACTTTCAACCTTAAAAAACGGTAAAAGATTTTAAATGCTTTTAGAAAAAAAGGGAAAAAAAGGCACATCTCTGCTGAGAAAGTTTTCAGAAATGCAAAATATCCTGCAAAGCAGGCCAGTGACTAAATACAGACTAAATCTTAGTCTGCTTCTTTCTAGAGCCCAAAATACATTTGGCATGCTCAGACATGCTGAACTATGCCCCTCATCACCTAATGTAACCCAAGAGCTTGTGATGTTGTTTAATGGGATGAAAAAGAAACTGGAAAAAACACCACGCAGGAGGGAATGGCAGGTGATCTGCTCCACGTGTGACACCTGGAAGTCACCAGCCTGTGTCTCTCCTGTTCTCATATTTCATCAACCTGCCTCTATGCAATCCAAATGCAATTCAACCCTACCTGCTGGGTGCTGGGAGATCCTCCCAGTTACCTCTGGGACTGACACCTCCTCTGCAGTCAGGTGTGCTCTGCCACCACAGCACACTCTGGGTGGAAAAGTACATTTTCCTATTTAGGCTTTGGATAACTCTTCCTGAACCAGCCCAACTTGTTCTGCCATGCTGCAAGCTCACACTTGGGCACTAGCAGGGCAGAGGAATTGTCTTAGGACCAGGAGCTGCAGGATGTGAAGCTGGGACATGCATCTCTGATGGATGGAGAGAAATGCACAGAGATGGCATTTCAAGCTGGAAGAAGATAATTCTGCATTAAGGCACGTTTTTTAGCTAACAGAGTTTCCTTATGGTCCACAGTCAGTGCACCATACTTACAAGGTTTGAGTTGAAGCCTTTTAAATGGACTTAGAAACTTGCACCTCAGCAAGAAAAATTTGATTTTTGGAAATGCTAAGCACGTCCCTCTGCCTCACTGGAGATGATCCAGACACTCCCCTCAGACTGTATTTTATTATTCACTAAACAGCTTGTTATAACTCTGTCAAGACAGAGTGCTATTTCCTCCCTAAGGGAGAGATGAGAACAAAACCTAGGTAAAAAAGCACCTCAATTCATGCACAATGACAAGTGAATCCTCAGGAAAAAGTTAGGATCTCGTGTTAAACATGAGATCATTTTAGGACATGTTTATATACGAACATTCACTAAGACAGGTCTCCTGGAAGCTGTTCAGAGTACACTACTGAGCCTAGACAAGTTTTAGTGAAAAAAATAATACTAAATTTGAAAATCAGAGATGTCAGGGTTTGGGCATTTTTGTTTTTGCTAAACAAATTGCTGCTAAAGAGAACAGAGAAGTATCAAACAGCAGAAATGAATGGATAAATAAAAGCTCAGGACTAAGTTAAAATTCTAAGGAAGTAATCAGAGTGCATTACCATCTAGCAATCCGACTGTGTGACATAAAGTAACAAACAGAGATCCCATAAATGTCCTTTAATATTCTCTTCACTGAAAATTAGGGAAGAACCTACAGCATTTGTAAGGCACTGAAAGTATGCAGCTCATACCATATATAAATCATGCTGCATGCAGCTCTCCTACCCTCAGAAGTTGCCCCACGCTGCAGCTGAAAATTTTCTTGTGCTCTGAATGAGACAGAGATTCTGCAACATCCCAGTTTTAACTGATTTGTTGTTGCCCAAGTACGAACAAAAATCAAAGGACAGCAGCTAGTGTAGCATTTCCCAAAATAATTTATATGACTTCTCCACTTTGCATTATGGCAAGGCAGACAAGGGAGGACAATTTCTTTTCCAACAGTAGATGTTTAATGATTGACAGCAGCACTGGATTTGTACTGACAGGCAGGTTCACTTCTAGTTACCAGTGGGGGAAAAGTCTGTCTAAAATGCTTACCAGACAGCATCTCCTGGGAGGTTAGTCCATATCCTCTCTTTTATATCCTCTGCTTTTTATATAAAACCAATCTGTCAGGTTCCCACCTATGTGTATAAACTCAGGCCAGATCTGGCATTCCAGTCTCCGGGTACTGAAGCAGCACTGCATAGAAACCAAGCCTGGTTTATAACCAGAGCTACTAACGTGGTTCTTATCAATAGTCCTTATCATTTCCAGTTCATGCTCAGGCCACAAGGCTCACAAATTATTTACTTTAAATTACTAACGCTACATTCATGATATGAAAGGTAGTATTGAATCAAGTGGTTCAAGACTGAGAACATCCCTATATGGCTCTAAATTACATGCACGGGACTTGTCACAAGGCCAAACATTATGCAAGTTTAATGCTCCAGTACACAAAAAGCACTCTGAACTTACTATTAAAAAAAAAAATCAATTACCACATCAGCAGAAGCAGGTTTTTCTATCAATCAGTTCCTATTTTAACACAGTCACAATGTGTTTAAGCATACTTCATGCTACTACTTGATATGGAAACAAACTGAAGTTGATAGCTTTCCAAGGATTCCTGTCCAGTTTAACATTGCAGAGAGGGATTGTCACTGTCAGCTCCTAAAACTTCCAGAGGATGCTTCCTTTTCCTAGTCCCTATCAACCTTCTGTTCCCACCACTGAAAGGTTTAAAATGGATATAAAATATCTAGCATGAGATTTTGTGGCTGAAAACATTCACTAAAAACACAGACAGCAGTCACTTTAAGCAATTCTCCAAGCAAGTAAGAAAGGTGAAGTATCAACAAACTCTCATGCATTTGCTGATAAACATATTTTTCTCTAACTAAAGGACAATTTGATCCTTCAGTGACTGAACAAACTCTTTCTAGCAGGCAAGTAGTTTTTATGACTCAATACTGGAGATTTTCAAGATCCATTCAGAGAAAACAAGTGTTCATGGTTACAGAAAAGTTTCATAAAAGAAAACCATGCAGAGAAGTCTTTAAAACTCACCCAGTATTTAAAAGTTCTTTCAAGAGAAAAATGAGCAAAGTTCTTCTAGCAACCTTCCCTCCTGATCAGAAATACAGGTTGAAGTCTAAAATAGATATCCTATCATTCAGCACAGTCACATCTGAACATGCAAACTTTCAGAGGGTAGAAAGAGCGCTGTAACTTACACCAGGCAGTCCGGGGATAAAATTCACTCCGGCACAGGAGGAGAGCACACAAGACAACACTGAGAAGCATCAATGCGAGTCCAGACTCTTATTCAGTAGGTGAAAATCTGCCTCCTCTTAAGCAAAGAATTCTGCTGGGGGTGGGCACTGATAAAACACAACACTGCGTCACGACTGCACCAGAGAGACAAACCAATCCAATGAAGCTCGTATTAAAAGCAACAAAACGTTCCCTTCCCCCTCCCCACCCCCAGGCATAGGCATAGACAAGAAAGGAAATCTCATTTTTGACTGTCAGTTGGGTGTTTTGGTGGGATCAGGTAATCTCTGAGGAGTCCCAGATCTTTTATTTGCAAGCACAGTTAAATGCACTTTTAATTCAAGTGCCTGTGACAGTAGGGTATGTAGATCCAATTTGGGAATGATGTTGCACGCTTGCTACTTTATCCATGTCAGTAGAGGTCCCACAGGCTACACAGACTGCAGAAAGTTAAAGATGTGCACGAGTTTTGTCTGGATCGATGCCTAAGCAAACAACTTCACTTTCAACAGTTCAGCCTAAATTATCCAATCCAGATTCCTTCAACCGCTTTCCTTTAAGTGGGAAACGTTTTTTGCACATAAATCAAGGCAAAACTAATGTTTGCCTAAAAGTACCCAGCTTAGCTTTATATAAAATAATTGCTTTAAGACCATATAGTGCCATTCAGTTATCATATTCAGCAAAAAGGAATTAAAATCAAAACTGCATTGTCACAGTTAAAAATCTGACTGACAAAAATTTATTTGCACACCTTTATGGTTTATAAATTTATCTGCTAGGTTTTACTCCATTCAGAGTCACTAAAATGTGTGTAATGATATTAGAACTTAACATAATTAAATCTGTACATTTTCCACATCCTGAACATTTGAGAAAAACCAAATCAATTCAGTTTTGTAAACACAGACTTGGAAACATAATCCTTCCTGATCTATTTTTTCAAGTTTGAATAACGGATATTTCCTAACAAGAAGTCAAAAGTTTTCTGAATTGGTTAAATTCAGCTTCACATCTGCATGGGTTATTTGGTAATACTGAAAAGTATTTTACATTTCTTAAGCAAACTCACATAGATTAGCAAGCCTACATCACTTTCTAAAAAGAATTAGGAAAAAACTCCAACTAGAAATCTGCAATGAAGAAATGACATTAAAATCCCACCCCCCCAAAAAAAAGAGAATTATACCTATTGAGCCATGATTATTTTTAAGAAATGGTGATTCTTTATTTAAGGTCGATACCCCACTACAACTAAGTCTGTGATACATCTGCTACCTTTATGAAAAGCTACATCTCTTTAGTCTTTATGACATAGTCTTTAGTTGTGATGTCTTTCCTTTTGCTCCTGTAATTGCTGACAAACAGGCTTCCAGTTTTTAGAAAACTGAGGGGCTAAGACTTTCACAGTGGTTTTCCCTTATGGACAAAAGCAACATATTTTAACAACAACAGCATGTTAATCTTTTCCTGCAGATCACTTTTTTTACTTTTTTTTCCCTAACAAGTAGCATCCATCAATTCAAGTGAGAGCGACCATAATGGTAAACATTAAGTCAGCTTGTATTTATAGATCTGGATTCCAAAGTTTTAAGAAAGCGAATAAATAAGCGCAGAAACTTCTTGTACCACTTGTTTAACTTTATAAGGTAAAAAGAAAAAAAAAAAAAGAGGCAAAATATTATTCCATGTTCTCTTTATAGCTGATGTCTGCCTCTCCCAGTAAGTGTTAAATCCATCCTAATTCTCCTTTAGAGAAGCTAAGGACCATTCCCCCAGCCTAGAGCAGCCACCACCAGCGTGCAGGTACAAACACTGCCCAGGGCACATGTGACCTGAGGGGTATCCATTTCAATTCCCAGCCCCAGAAGCTGCCAGCCTGACCTGTGGGAAGCATCTCAGACCCAGGAGAGCTGCAAACTGGAACCATTTGAGTGCTGCTTCCCACGAGCCAGCCTGGCCACAACGGTGGCTTCTTGTTGACCTAAGCTGCAGAGCTCGGTCTACACGCAAAGCAAAGGATATAATAAACAGCACAGAGAAAAGGAAATATCTTCAAAGTTTCTGTTCTGCTACATCAGCATTGTGGACTTGAGGCATGGGAAAATTCAAGCCAAGATAGGTTGACCATTAGAAAGAGTTATAATTTGGGACACCACTGAAGAAGCAAGCAAAGGAAAATTTATAAGACCACAGAATAAATTACGAGGATTGGGTTTTGGAAATGGCAGCACCAGTTTGGTTCCCATCAAATCAAATATTTGTAGAAATGATAAACTACAATCTCGATCAGATATCATAATTCGGTTTTGATTGTAATTTATTTTGGTAAATTGACAATTGATAGATCCTTGTTTGATTCAACAAACTCATGCTAGGCAGATTTATATTCAGGCTTAAATAATGTAATAGGACAAGCCAATTTAAATATTTAATTTTAAACCCCTTTTGTTCTGCATTTCTGCATTAGCTATTTTCTAAAAGATGCCCAGGTTCTCATTTCCCAGTGACCACTAAAACAAAGTTAATTTTGCAACTAAGGGTAACTTTTATACTTTTATATCAAAGGTAACTGGCTTTTTTTTGCCATTCAGTTTGGAAGGCTACATATATAAATGATTATTCAGATTTTAAAACACATACATTTTGAGTAGAAAATAATGGGGGCTGTGCATAATTTTCTAACATAAAAGCCCCAAAGAATTGGAACCTGAATGCCTGTGAAATGCATTTACTCAGGAACAGAAATACAGTAAAAACATGCAAAAGCTGCAAGGTTAGTGACCAGCTACAGGAGTTTCTGGGCTCTCACATACCTGCTGGTACTCTAAAATTGGGAGCCATAAGCACCTGGAACTGGAGACCCTGACCCTGACTGGGAACCCGTATTCCCTCTCAATCTTTAAACAAGAAAATCAAATCAATGAGGAGGAATGAAAAGGGTGACAGACAGCAGTCCATCATACCTCAAAGAAATCTCCAGCCCTCTTCTTTCTGGTACTTAAGGCCCCCATGACCATGTCCACCACAGGAGCCTTGAAGGGCACCACAGGCCAATCATTACCTGGAAATCAGCCCTGAGGCCCTTCAGACAAATAGAGATTTAACCAAACCTGCTCTACCAAACACAACACCTCTTCTTGGAGCGCTGGTAGTTCTGTTATGCTCAATGAATACCAACAAAACCTCTGAGCATCTGCTCTGCAGAGAGCTGCAAACACAGTTTAAGATAAAATGAGCCAATAAAGCACATTTGCTTTTGCATATTGGATAGCAAGTTCTGAAACATTCTGTTATCTATCAGGATAATCTCCAAAGGAGATGCATCCATGTTTCACTGCAAGAAAACCATCTCAGGGACTCTCTGGAAAGTTTAATGCAGTAGACATAAAAATTAAGAATTCATTTAGCATTCAGGGATGGAGCAACTCCTCTACTCTAAGGAATCAAACCCCTTGGATGGGCTTTCTTGGTGGCTCTGAACTCTGTCACCCTGTCCTCCAAACATTTTTTTTTTCCAGCAAGCTTGTGGGCTCTCAAAGAGGACATCCCACCCCAGTCAAGGGACTTCCACTCCCAATGGTCGAGGTGAATTAGCTGTGCTTGCACAGGCATGCATGGAGAGCTGCCATGTTACAGCATGTGACTCTGCTTGAGATCACACTTGTCTATGGAGTGAGCCAGCCCTGGGAAATGAAAGGGAGGAACCCACAAGTGGAATTGCTGGAGGCCAAGGCTGGCACAGAGGCTGACACAGGCTCCGGGTGCTGTGTGGCCTGGGAGAGCCATACTGACTCCAGCCCCTACCACAGCACAAGCCCATGTCCAGCCAGGAGGAGTTCAAAGGCAGCAAAGCAATGCTGAAGGAGCAAGGCCTTGGCCAGTGCTGATTCAAGCTGGGAATGGTCCATTCCCAGTTAATGCTGAGAACTGGACTTGCATTGCCTGTGATTCCAGCCGACTGACCAGAGACTGGGGCACACTCATGTCCATACGAAGACCAAGGAAAAGGGTGAGCTGCTGTTCAGAGCCACCCTGAGCCTAATCTTCCCCTCCCCAGTCCCATATCCCAAGCAGTCAGCATGGGCACAGTACTATAAAAGCCCTGGCTACTGCTGACAACTCAAGGAGCATTATCCTGAAATACTAACGGACCTGTACTGACTTTACACAGAACATAAAAACTGCCCATGAAACACTCCTGTGGCAATCCAAAAATATGCATTTTGCAAATTCAGAGGCATATGTAAAGATGCCCTTGGTGAAAAGCCAGAGTGTGGTTGCCAAAAGTCAACAATGCAAATTTTTCAGATAAAGGAAACCTGACACATCCAGCCCCAGATTGCCTGCCATTTCCATTTCAGTTTGGGTTTCAGAGAACAACCACTGTGGAGCCTTCTGTTTGAGCCAGAAGAGATGGCTGCAGCTCCCCTGAGTCCAGCAACCTCCTCTCTTCAAACAGAGCTGCAGGAGTGAGTGGCTATCAACATGCCAAACCACACCGGCTGGCTCTCACTGCCGACCTCCAGAATCGGTGCGGCCCACAGGACAGAAGACCAAGCACTCCTGATCTAGCTGAATGTCAAAAGGAGAAAAGAATCAGGGGTATAACCAAACAGAGGAGGGATAACACTCACAGAGGTGTCAACCAGGGTTATGGGAGTAAATGGAATAGATTAAGCCAGTACAATCTGGCAATGGAAATTTTGCTGCTTCTTTTTCCCTATGAGCATTGCAGTAATAGAGATATAAAGGGGGAAACAGCAATGAAAGCTGTGACCTTGGCTTCATTTCACAGGAATCAGAGCCAAATACTCGTGCTTATGCTGCCTGGAGACCATGCAAAGCTTGGCATCTGCCAATTAATAGGCCTGTTACCCCTCAAAGCCCAACAGCTGCTGATTCTGTTCTTGAGTCCATGTAATATCCACATCTGTCTCCTGCAGCCTTTGCTGCTAGAGGCATGAGGAGCATGATGGGGAAGCAAATACCTTGAGTTCCACCTACCAGGCAACATTAACCTGCTGGCAGCTTCACCGTAGATTGAACAAAGAAGTGCCCAACAGACACGTGACATGGGCTACAGATTAAATCACTGTCAATCAATGTGCCAAAGAGTGTCCCACAACTGGTTCTTGGCCTAGCAAACACCTCCAAGAGGGCTTACTAAGGGTGTGTGGTCATATGAAGCAGGCTGAGAAAAGTTAGGCTTTATCTCTCATGGAAGGCCGAGGAGCAAACCCAGTGGTCCAGTGCCAATGTCCAGGTGGAGCACAAAGAGTCTTCCTAAAGGTTTGGGCAAGATTACAGGACACACGGACTGATGAGCGTATTCATCCTCCAAAAGAGCTTGAACAACTAAAATTTCTGTGCTTGACACACAGGCTGCAGGGAAGAGGAAGTTATTAGGCAGCAGAATGTATCTGAGCACTTGGCACCAGCAAACAGGGCCGGTGGCCTCTGTGCCATCCTCAGGGTAAGGCATTCCTAGCTAAGCCACGATGACGACACTGATGCATCTCAGAAGCCCCATGGCTGCCCAAAGGAGAAGAGACAGAATGGATGCTGCTGAGAGGTCAGGAATACAAAGGGGATTCCATGAGGAACCCTCCCCTCGTCCTTGCCTGCCGGTGTGAGAACAGAGCTGGCCATGCCAGGATCCTGCTGTGGCCACTGTGGCTCAGGCTGGGACTTCTCTGGACTATGCATCCCCCACGCAGAAAATGACCAACCCAAAAATGGGAGAGGCACTGACACAGACCTCTCTGCTCCACACAAGCACTGTGAGAAGGGCCACATCACTCCAAGGAAGGGTGCAAATTCCAGAATTAGCTGAAAAAATCAAGCAGAAAAAGAGACAATAACCCCCAAAAATAAATAAAATTAAGTCTATGGCAGCCACGCATGACAATAACACCATGTCAAGAGTCCTCTGAAATATGGAAGAACCTGCAGAGCACATTTCTTGCAAGACCTGGAAGGGAACAAGGTCTATCTCTGTCATACTGATAAGGAAAATTTACCCACTGTTATCCGTAAAACAAACAAGCAAGTAGATAATCATATAAACAAGGAACACTGAATACACAGGCAAAAAGAATATAAAGTAATTTTTCCTTTAAGGAAGTAATCAAGGAATCTATAATTAATTCAAAAATGGTTTCTTTTCACCAAGACCTTCAGAAGTCACATAAATCATTTCCTCTTCCATCTCTTCTACACATAAATTAAAAAGGGGAAAATTAATTGCGCCATCTCTTCAACTATCAATCAGTTTCTCCACTTTGAATTAAACAGATATTTAATTAAATCAAATTAATAAAATTATGTGAGGAAAAGAGTTGCTCTGAAACAACTCCCAAAATGGGCTTAATATTTCAATCAACACTGTCTCCAAGCCTTTAACCAGATATCTTTCACAATTTGATTTTTTCTTTAAGACTTCAGCAGACATGAAGATATCTTAATTACTTAATTTAGTACTAATAGCTAAATAGATTACAATAAATTTGGGTTATATTACAAGTTTGTTTCTTTCAAATCCAAAGTACTATGGGTTTACAAGAAAAATAATACTTTTCAGTTTAAAAAATTCCTCAATTATGCAAAAAGTATTTTCCATTCTCTAAAGCAATCCAGAACCTGGACTGTATTATTCACTAATGCACTTTCCATCTGGGATACAGTGGTGCACTAATCATATGTGAAATTCACGGGTGCAGAAGACCGTTCTCTATCTACTTGCAAACGCTATCATCAATTACTGAAAAATCTATTTAAAATTGGAAAAAAATTACAAACTCATCCACTGGCTACTCTAATCCTGGGATTCTGTTTTGACTGAGGTTCTCTAAGGTTTATTCAGGAAACAGATCAATTGCACAAACTCGAATGCACAGTTCTCCATCAATAAAGTCTTCCACAAGAATATGTAGGAACCCATGCTGAGTGTGCCTGATGGGCAAACACCATGAAAGGAGTAATGCTGGCAGAAACACTAGGTGGACACAGGGGTGCAGGTAACACGAAGAAAACAAATGTGCAGATTTACTTGTTCCAGTCAACAACAGTAGCTAAAGTTTATTGATTTCAGTTTCAGCAGCTAAAAATCCATGAAAACATTCTTATATGATACAGACAATACTATCCCATATTCAAATTTCTATCAAAGTAATAAAATAGGCTAGGATTTTCTCACAGTCATTGCAATTTACTTACCAATTAGTACAATAAAACCTATTTTAAAATGTAAATATTATAAAGTGCAAATAGTTTTTGTATCCCATTGTGATGTAGCAGCTCGATTATATGGAAATATCTAAGTAAAGAGACTGAAAAAATCTAACTGGAAAAATCTAACTACAAAAATAGCTGGACACATTCTCAGCCACTGTCTCTCAACTGTTCCCCTTATATCCACTGTAAAACTATTTCCAACACACTAATCACATCTATTCGGAAGAAACTAAAATTATATGATTTCAAACTATTTTCATTTAAAAAAATGGTCCTTTAACAACTGCTTTTACTCTTCTATCTAATTATATACTCTTAAAGGCCAAATATTCAGTCAGTATACAAAAATAACCATAGCCTTTTATTAAGGATAAGACACCAGATATGAGTTCATAAGAAAAATAAAGATGTTCTTTGCCTGCCACTACCAGCAATACTTTTCAATACAGGAAAACAAATTTACTTTTAAAATTTTAAATACATATACATCAAAGTCTTAATAACTTTGTATCAGAGACTTACTACAATCAAATCTGTTCACAGCATCATTAAGTTGTTGGACTGTATGGCCAGTATTTCCTTCGAGATACTTCACGGCACAGCCAAGATGCTCAAAAACTCTCTCTCCCAAAAGCTCTCTCCTGACTAAGAAATCTGCGCTTATAACCCTACAACCCTGGCAAGAAATCTTACCTAGAACATTTTTCTGACCAACAGTCAGATAGAAAAGATAAAATTGATTGATATTTGATTCTGGCATCTGTCTAAGGACACCATAAGAACAATACATTATAAGGTTACTCAAATTAGAGGGCTAGCACTATTTTTTTTTCTTTTACCTATGCACCTGTCGTCATACTTTCTATGCAAAGGCTGTTTGTTAAACTTGAGTAAAACCCCTAACTTCCTATTTTGTAATGTTCTGAGCTTTTCCATATTCAATGTGTGTCTCAACAAGAAAAACCCCAAATTGATTTAAAGTACAAAGCAGCAGCTATCTCATCCACAAATGAAAACTGCAGCGATGTTCTGCTCTTCCTAAAACAAGCTTGAAGCCACGATTATATTAAAGACACAGATGTGAGGGGATTTTTCAATTTCCAAACAGACATGCAAACAAAGTATTACAGTTCAGGGGCGCAGGTAAATGAATAAGCAAGAAAACTACGTGACGTTTGTGCAGCGTCCTCTCAAATCCTGCAATCCCTTCTAGAAAGTCTGGGTCTACATCTCCCTCTTCTTTACTCATGTTCTTCTCGCATGGCTTGGTCTCAGAAACTTTCCATGCCTGTAACGGAAACTTGAGCCAACTTCTTAAATGTATGATTTCTTCATCTCCACTCATCATCCACTTCTGTTTCTGAGAAGCTCCTCATCATGACACCTGTATCTCAAGAAGCAAAACAGGAAACATCACAGGGATGAAGCAATGAAAGATGAATAATAATATGCCTCTGTGTCTTTAATAAAATCCCAACTTTCATTCAAGTTCCTTTTAGGAAATCAGAGTTCCTTTCACAAGTGCAAAGCTTACAAACCTAGTTTGGCAAAACATCGCGTGCCAAAAGCGGGGTAACCAATCTCCCAATCTGCACCTCTGATCCTGACACCATGAGCAGGAGAAATCCTGCACCAGCTAGCCTTACACACTGTGGAAAATATGACCTGGTGCCAAGCTTGCAGAACTAGTCTGCGGCAGCCAGCTCAACTAAAAGAAACTGCTGACCCATCTGCTGACTTACCCGCTACTGAAAACAATGCCAGTTATCTTTACCCAGGACTCACTTGTCCACGTAGAGCTCTAGCCCACAAGTTAGATTAAAAACAAAGATGTGAGTAAGCCTCTCCTCTGCTTTTCCCATTGCTCCCTAATCTGCACAACTTCCATAGCACACAGTTTGTGGTTTTATACACTTATCAGGTACAAGAGAAGACAAAGCTTTCGCTGTGTTACAGCAGCTTAACTACAAGGTGACAACGGCCTAAGGTATTTTCAACCTGCCATAAAACTTGGCATTGGGGTAGAGGACACTTGCCTGTTTCTGCCATCCAAAACTTGGGGTCAAGCAGGCCCAAAGCCAAGAGCAGCACTGTTTAGAGTCTAACAACAAAACAGCAAAGGGATGACTCATCTGCAAAATGGAGACACAACCCTCTTGTGTCCAAAGCTGCAGCTTAAACCATCTGCCTGCTTTACAGTTTTGCCTGAATGCTGAATAAGGGGGTACAGGAGAATTATTTCGGCAGCCTCCCCAGCCATGAAGCCTTCAGAGCAGATAAGCAGGCACCAAAACCATTCTGCCAGTCAGCTCTCAGTGAAACAGAAGCATGAAAGCCATTTTATCTCTCCCTTTTAGGGTTAAGGCCATATTTAAATAAACATTAGCATCAAAACCTCTTTGTACTAGAAGCAGAGCAGACCCTACATCTTATCAGCTATCACCGAAACTTCTCAGAATTCCACATCCCATCTAAAATCCTTCTTTATTCTGCAAAAACAGTTGACAGCAGCATGCTCCATATGCATGAATCAGAAAGACAGTGTAGTCCTTCCCCAACTCCTCCCTGTGAAACAGGGCTCATTTTGGCTTTCTTACAGCAGATATGAGGGACAGCTGTAGGGACAGAGTCCCACCAGAGCACAAAGTTTTGGCTTTGCTTCTTGCACATCACAGTTGAGAAGATAACTGAGCCTTAGTCAAAGCAAGAAACCCTCTGAGAGCGCTCTGGGTATTGCAGAAAAAACATCTTTTAAGTAACTGGACAGAAAAGTATTTGCTGTGCTGGGATTACATGTCAAAGAAAAACACATATTCCCCCAATTCTGAACTCTTGATTGAGTCCTTACCCTCAGAAGTGCTCAGAAGGCAAACAGTCTTGAAAGCTTGTGCCTCAGCGATCATGCCTGCTACTGAGACATGCTACTGCTACTCAGGAAAGGTAACTATCACAGATTTCAAGAGCTTAAAAGCTTTCAAAAGCACTAAAGCTGAGGCAGTCACAAATGTCCAGCTGTCAGGACATCCAGAATTATTTTATAATATATATACCATTCAATTATTTTACACCACAGTGATTCTTAATCTTTTATCATGATGATCACTGTATACAAGAAGCAGAAATCATAATTTTACTGTTCCATAGTCATCATAACTCCATATTCTGTCTGAGCAGCAGAAATTAACTGAGGACAAGTAATTCAATCTATTATTGACATCTTCACTTGTTAATCAAATGTCTACAGTCAGCTTACACACCATACAGACTACAAGACATCCAGGCTGCTGACTGTTGCATGCAGAAAGAGAACTGCAGGAAAAGGTTAATAGTTGTCCAAAAGATCTGAGGCTGGCTGCCACCTGAAACAACCGAGGAATTTTCAGTTTTCTTTTGAAGAGACAATTTACTGGCAGGCTGGTGCTTCTAACTTTGATCTTCCTTCCTTCCAACACCAGCAGAAGCTCAGTAACAGAAGTTCTGAAGCTTTGTAGCTCAATAACAAAACACAGAAACCTCCCAGAATGTTAACTCAATTACAGTATTTTGGCAAGGAAATCTTCCCCTTGTACCTTGGGGAAAATCTGAAAAGATTAATCAGTGCATGTTTTAAAAGTACACACGCCTCAATTATTTGGTGTAACTCTTCATTCACCTCATTGCTTTGAGAGAAAAAATATTCTTCAGTAACTTGCTTGAAAGACTGAAAGTGTTCCTTGTTTCCCAAAGAAACAATGGTTATACAACCACACCAATTGTTCCATGCACAGAAATGTAAACTATAAGGCCAATTTCAACCTAATCTCATGCAAAAGCTAGGAGATTTCAGAAGTGCTCAGTTCCTACAGCAGGCTTGCAAAAGTAAGCAACCAAGGCAGTCTCCTGAGCAAAAGGTCTGGTTCTCAAACATCAGGGAGACAGCATGCTTTCGTTAAATATACCCAAGAACTCACTACAAGGCAGTGAGAAGCTGCTCAGGCACTGTGCTGTGGGGAAAATCAGGGATGCTAACAGCACTGCTGTGTAATGGAAAGAGAGAAAGAAGGAAAAATGTGTAAGGTACTGCAGTGCCACCAAAACCAAGAGAGCTGCAGGAAAGATTTATCTTCACTAGTTCAGCTGCTCACAGAGCTACCTTTGAATCTATGGAGCAATACAGCAATGCCTTATAAGCCCATCACATCTTCCATCTCTACGTGGGTTGCTGCTGACATGTCAACAGGCAATTCTCAGGATTCATTAAAGGCACTTGGACATCAGCTGTCCTGTTTCACCAATGGGAATCTGGAAAAGCAGACATACACTGCAACACAGGTGGCCTCAGAACCCCCCTCCTCCCCCCCCCCAAAAAAATGCTTTTCATACCCTTCAACAAGATCCTACCCAGGCACTGGCACGACAGGTCAGACTGCTGGTCCGTTTTTCTGAGAATCCTGCCTGCTGTGATCAGGACCAGATGCTACAGAAGGTAGAACAGTTCAGGTAGTGAGCAATGATGTAATTCCCCCAAAAGGGAAATTTCTTCCTGACCTCATCAATAAGCATGAAGGTTTATGTGCTTAATTTATTTTTAATCCTATTTACAGCAACTCTGGACATTGTCATTATACATATAAATGCCCAAGTTTGCTTGGAATCCAACTAAACTTTTGCTCTTGGTAATATTGTGTGGTGTATTTATGCCTAATGTCATTTAAATATCCCTTTGTTCTTGCACTATGGGAACTAGTATAACCATTAACCACCTCTGTTCCCCTTCCAAGAGCTCCAGCCTGCCTTGCACCATAAATTTCCATGCCACACTATGCCCTGTGACAGGACACAATCTGAGGATCTTCAAGGAAACTACTGAGCAACTTCTATTAGACATCTAGCAACATTCAAGCTACGCTTCTGGGATCTGCAGCAAAGTTGGCAGTTGCACCAAGATTTCAGCAGGCTCTCCCTTCTTCTAGAGCTTGCAAGCTCACTTTCATGTCGTTTTCCACTCCAGGGATGCCACTCTTATAAGCAAGATGTTTTGCTCCATGTTGTGCACTTTGAAACCCCCCCCTTCAAGATTCTGATACATTTACTTAGAACAGAGGGCTGTACAGGAACCTCTCTGAGCAAAGAACTGCCCTCTCATCTCCATACCTGAACAAAGAATAACAGGGCCAAACCATGCAACACCAATCCTATTTTGCTCTTGGCTGATGTTCTTGTGGGCTGCAGGTTCCCCTGTGCAATAACTTTAGCCTGTGTTGCTACTTTAGTTCCTTATGGATGAGCTCATGGCACATTCATCATGATTATTGTGCCAAGTACTTATTAAAGCTCCAGTGCTCTCTGCTGTTTCTGCTCACACAATGTATGCATCAACGTATAAAGCCACACCTTCATTCAACAAAAGCTTGGTGGGGAAAAAAAAATATATATATGCAAGCAGCAGACAAGAAAGGGAGACTCTTAAAGCACACTTGAAGTTCTGGATCCTCTTGTCTCCCCAAAACCTGCTTTCAGTCATTACTTGGGCTGCATTTTCTTCTCCAAGCCTTTGAAGCTAAAACTTTGGACTCCCGGCCACAGGTCCTTAGTCCGAAAGCCTTCAGGAAAGAAAGAGAGAAAGGCTGGTATCTCATGGGAAGATGGCCTCCCAAGGAGATGACAGAGTTTTTACAGCATCTGTGAGAAATACCACACAGTCATCACTGTTTGACCACAAATGTTGTGATTATGGGCTTGGAACTGGTGAGTTATGGTAAGAGAAGAATACTTCTTTGCCTCAACCAAAATGAAAATTATACCGTTTCAACTCTCTTTGGAACAACCTTCAGGCAAGCAAGGGGGTGAGAGAAAAAGCTTGTTCCAGCTTATGGTTCAGAAACAAATGAAGTTCTTTAATGATCAAAATAGCACTAACAGAACTGGTAAAAGGCCCCACTTTGTCAACAGTTACCTCATTAAATAATCCAAACACATGCAACTTTTTTCTCTGTTTGAGTATCAGAGACTGATTAGTCAATAAAGTGACAGGTCTCATAATGGCAGTAAAATTGTCCTTTCACGTATTTCTCAAAGACCTCTTCGTGCTGTTTAATAGTTACAGAGGTCTTAGAAACTCTGTTTCAGAGCAAGGATCTTGACCATTTCTTTCCAAGAGGCCATAAATGTTTTCCTGTTCATCAGTCACATGTGTAAAGACAATATACTGAGCTGGGTACTTGTACAATGTCTTAGGCAATGCTGAAAGACTGGTCCAAGCCACAAGGCTCAGAGCACTGCCATACCAGCACCGCCAGGACCTCGGATCAGCCAGCGAGTGGTTTGCCCTTGGCATTCCAGAATGTGCTGAGGTTGAAAGGGAAGACAATAATGATACAGAACAATTCTCCCATCAGCAGTGGCAAAAGTAATCTCAGAGGCACAGAGTACAATGCTTTCACCACTTTGGGGTCATTACTGACTTTGAAGTCAAAAAGAAGTGATATTTTCTGTTTGTCACACACAGAAGCAGACTTTGGGTAAGGAGACTTTTTTAACAGACTCAAGTCAGGTATTTTTGGTTGCTAGAATTCTCAATCTGTTGTGATAAAATTAGCTTTAAATAAATGTACAATACAAGCAGTACATACTTTGCCTAAGAAAAAACCTGCTGGCCACTTACAGATCATGTGAGCCCAGTTATTTAGCTGAGCTAAAAACATCAATTATTCCGAGCCTTATCTGACTGTAGATTTGGATCTGTTTAACAACAGCACTGCCACATATCAAAACGCATGACAACCCACAGCTCTTTACTAAAGCAATGAAAAGTTCCTGCAAACAATGGTTGCTGCCATTTAACAACACAGTCATGAAGAAAAGAGGTAAGAGGGAAAAACCTGCACCTTTTTCTCAATCTGAAAAGAAAAAGCAACTCTCCCTCTTCTGTGAGTCCACCCTTCCTTCCATATTACAGCAGAAAGAAATGGGCTGCCTTCAACTACCACTCCCTGATGTTCACCAACCAAAGCTATGGAAGATGATAATCTCTTTTTTTTCCCCTTTGCAAGGTTTTCATCAACCAGTACAAATTCTGCTCCGTTCTTTCAAACAGTGTCACAGAACCTGGCTCTGTACTGCTTATCACCATGATCCAAGCAACAGCAAAATAGTCACTCAAACATACCTAGTGCTCAGTGGTGGGTAAAGTTCACAGCAGCTGTCTGAGTCCCAGAAGGACATCTGAGAGAAGCGCCATAAATAACGACATCACATGGAGTCTCCCATTGCACAACCCACATACATCTTCCCTGCTCAGGAATTCACGCCTCGCACCCTTCGCTGTCAGTCAAGAGCATATTACAAACCATGTTTCCAAGATGATCCAGAGGATATTTTGGAAAGTAATACAGCCCTCCTGTTGGCTGAGTCTTTTCAAAATACCTGTTCTACTCCATTACGAAAATGACAAATGTTGCTACCATCTTATCAAACCATGGTCTTTCTCAGGAGCAAGCTGTAGATCCACCTGTGCATTTTATACATCATGGATGTCCAAAACCAGTTCCAGCAGGTCTGACAGCCTGGCAGAAACTGAAGGGGACTACTCCTTCGCAGACTCAGGATCTAAGTTCTTCTTCAGATATGCAAATGTGAAGTATTTTCTCAGACTACAGTTTCAGTAAACCCCAAATCTGAACAGTCCCTTTTCAAGATTAATTTATTTCACTGCTAGATTAAAATTAAACCAAATTCTCTTAAAATACCTCATTCCTAGGCATTTGCAAGGAGAGAATCACTTTTTGAAGCAGTGCCTAGATATAATTTTATAAAAATGAGACTTTTTTTCCTGGAGTTTTGCCACAAATTGCCTTTGAGGGCTTGGTTCAGAAATTCCAAAGCTAGTTTATTGTTTTTCATATTGAGAACTAATTCCTTTTAGCAATTCTGTTAATCTTGGAGTTTGAAGTTATTTTTATTAAAGTAACGCCCAGAGTTTATATATTCCATAAAAAGATCAGGAATTATTTTTATTAAAGTAACACCCAAAGCTTAGGCATTCCTTTCAAAAATAAGGCAAAGCACCTTCATTCTTAAAAAGGTTCTTAGTCTTTTCAATGCAAACACAAATTTCACAAAGACAGCTGAGCGCTGCGAAGTTTTATCAGCCATTTTTTATCAGAGACTTGAGGAAAAAAGTAATTAAGGCAGGATTTTTCTATTTTTCTGCCTAAAAAAATCATGAGCCTTTTGCTCCAAATAGTACATGTGTCTTTTTTTTTTTTTTCCCCCCTTCTTGCCTTCTGTTACAGAAGAAGCAGCACCGGTTTCCACTCCCTGATGTCAGATTTCTCATGAGACATTTGTGCTGGCTCGGGGCTGCTCTGCCAGCAGTCAGTACCTCTGGTCATCCTCTGTAGCTCTCCCTCAGCCAGCAGGGAGGCCTCTTTACCCAGGCAATGCCAGCTTCTGGTGGAGCTTGTTAGACTACAAAAATCTGGATCATAGCCCTTAACTCTTATGCCACAACAGATGTGGGGCTGCAAAGTGAAGGCTCTTACCTCCGTTCTCGAGGGCCTGAGGCACTGAAACCTTCTGCTCCTCAGCGGCACCCCTGTCTCAAGGACAGGACCGAGTGCTGCCTTTTGTTTGCATGACTACGTTAATAAACAACACCCAGGCTCCTCACCATGACTAAAGCACAGTTTAATTGTTTGGAGGGGAAAGGGAACGCCTTTTGATCACTGCTTCTGATCTGGAGCATAAGCAACCACGACTGAAGACTCCCCTTTGTCAGCAAGCCTCCTCCAATTGCTGTTGCTCTTTAGGCATAACAGGCCAAAGACATCATGGATTTAATAACACGTTTTCTAACAATGCGCTGCTTCCCTGTTGAAGAAGGCACGCAATGACAATTTTCAATTTCTTTAATGCAGAAATTAGGGTTGGGACAAAACCTTTTCAATTCCTCCAAAAGAGATGTTAAGTTGCAACATCCCCACCTTGCTCCCTGCAGCGTGTGTAATTTCAGCTTGCTCAATAGCATGGGCACTCCTGAGTTCAGGAGGACTTTAAAAGGAGCGATTAAAGCTCACGGAAGTAAGCTAACATGAATAAACTGCCCAGGCAACAGGAAAACATTCCAGAGCCCTGTGCTGTCACCAGGCTTTTGGCCAATGCTGCTTAATCATATATGCAAAACATAAATTACAGAAAGATTCATCACTGGTTAGAATATTCATAATTAATAATTTTGCATTGCACTGAAGAAGCTTCCCTGCAAACTGTCCTCAGACAAAAGCACTGCGATCTTCTCTCCATTCTCAGAGCTTCTACCGGCATCATTAGTACTAGTGGTACAGCAAAGGCTTCCTCTGTGGGCCTTCTCAATGGGTCAGGCAGTTTTGGAAGGAAAGTTTGAGAGCAAGTTTAGGACCAATCACACATCACTCTGCTGAAATTCTGTGGCTGGCTATAAGGCATCATGGCAGCTGCTGCAAGACACGTTCTCATCTGGGCTCTGCCCGCACATACCAGCTCATACTATCCGGGCATGTAACACTGGACTGAAACTCGAAATGCTCGTGGCACAGGGGAGGAAATTTTCACTACAAGGCCTTCAGAGTTTACGATGTCCTCTTTAAACACAGACATACTCATAGCTTAAATATTTAAGACCCTCTTGAGCCTTGTCACAGAACTTATAGAGCTGTATCAAAATCCTTTGATGTGTGCAGTGCTGAGTAAAAAAACCTAGCCAGCCACATTTTGGGTTACGAGGAGAGATGACTTTTCCACCACTTAACAGAAGATTATAGTTTTCACATAAGATTATAGAGGTATGGTTGTAATGCCATCTGAAGAATGCGTTTACAAAGATCTGACATTCAGCAGCTCACATGGAGACAACAGAGTGGTCAGATTCTCAAAAACTTTGGAGTTATAATTGACAGCAACTTGTTAATGATTTTCTGCAGTATCTTACAGATGTAAAGTTTTAACTGCTTAGAAAACCTTTCCTCACATGCTTCATGTGATCAGACACCACTCAATCTACACAGCATAATAGCTTTTTAAACAGTATTGGGTAAACTAGAAACAGTTCCCTCTGTACAGCATTCTCAAAAATAAATGTAAGTGAAGATAACTTTGGTCCAATTTTTGTTAGGTCATAACCTTCCCCATCCAGCACATCCAAAGTTCTGTATCAACTAAGTTCCATGAGAGTCTGAGAATCTGCTCCTGTGTATGCCTGGATCCTGACTACTAAAAATGGATGCATAAAAAAAATCTATTGTCTCGCTACCCTATCTGCCTTTGCTTTTTTAGAATCATGAATTAACAGGTAAAAATCAGTGCAGATATTTGAAGTAAAATTTCAAAAGCTGACTACACCTTCTGTCCCAACACATACTTGCACTGTACAGCTGAAAACATAAACCCCGCTGCAGAACAGGGTATAGTATCACCGGGACAGAACTCCCGTGGCTGCACTTGCCGGGAAAACAAACCACGCTGCCCTTCGCTCATGGCTCAAGCAGCACACTTCGAACACCCTAGCACAGGCAAAAGGCAAGGGCCCTAGAAAACCTTTTGCTTTTGCTACTTCTCCTTACAAGCCTTTTGTTCTGGACAAGTAAGTCTGAGATGCTCCTGCCACCGCCCCAGGTCCATGAATACAAAAGAAGCCGCACGCTGCTCCAGATTTCGAAGCCCTTCACGTTGCTTTCAGCTGAGCTGAGAGGCAAACCATGAACTGATTATCTGCAGCTCGAAAGGCGGCTGTGCCGGGAAAGCGGCAGGGCGCGGGTTCATTCTCCGCCACGCCGCTCCACTGAAGCGAGCGGAGCCGCACCGGGGCTGCGGCGGGCAGCGGCGCCGGCCGAGATGCGCCATTGGGAAGGCTCCGTTCCCTGCCTGCCCGCCGGGTGGGCAGGGCCGGTGGGAAGGAGGGAGGGCTCAGCTGTCCGGACCGCCACGAGCCCCCGTGCCGGGACATCGCCGCGGCGCGAACCCGGGCACGGGACACGCGGGGAGCGCTCCCGCGGAGGACGGAGCGGAGCGCTCCCGCGGAGGGACGGCCGTGCCGGCCCGGCGGCGGCACCAAGCCCTGCCGCGGGAATGGAGCGGGACTCGGACACCCCCTCCCCGCCCCCGACCGTGCTTTCTCCTCGGGCGGCCCCTTCCCGCCTCGCCACGGCCCCCGGCGAGGCGCCCTTGCCCTCCCCTCGGCGCGGACGGGCGCGGGGGGCGGCGGGGGCTCGGGCGGCGCGGCCCCACTCACCGCCCGGCGGGCGCCTCCAGCCTCCGAGCAGCAGCAGCGGCGGTGGCGGCGGCAGCAGCGGGAGCCGGCGCGTCCCGGAGACGGAAGCGCGGGAGGAAGTGAGGTCGCGCCAAGGGGAAACGGCGGGGTTTCCGGGAGGTGGAGGGGGATGCGGACCGGAGATTTCCCCTGCGCCCGGGGAGCTCTGCTGGGCGTGGATCTCTGTGTCTCGTAAACCCCGCCGAGTGACGGGGACGCGCTGCGGAGCGGGGCCATCACACGGGCACAGTAACGTGGGGAGGACACGGCTCCGGCCGCCCCGGGGCTCCGCGCCCTCCCCGCTCCCCGCGCCCGCCAGCCCTCGGCCCCGCGCAGCGACCCCGCTGTTTTCCGCGGTTCCTTACAGCGAGGAAGCTGTCACAGGGAGCCACCCTTCACCCAAAGGAGCCTTTCCATGGGGCAAACTTTCTGCCACTGTCAGTTCCGCCCGGGTCACGTTTTACAGTCCCTACAGACACTGAAGTACAGATCACTTCAATATAGTAAAATTTTGGTGCTCAAAGACAAGTTTCTTAATATCCAAATGTAGCCGCAGTGGTGCTCACCACTGCTCCAGGGCTTAATAGATTTCAGAGCAAAACAGATGAGAACCTCTGGACATAAACACCCAACGCTGTGCTGGTTCTTCATCATTCGGCCAACTCACCTTGTGTAACCTTAGGAATTACAGCATGATATATCTTCAAATAGTTTTCATGATTAGATGCTTTTATTAAAAAGTAATTTCTGCAGAATCCTTTCAATTAACTGATTTTGAGATTTACCTAGAAAGAAAAAGTAACTGCAGTGTGAAGTCTCTTTTGGACAAGCTATGATCTGCTTATACTGATTTTAACAGACAGACCCATTCTTTACAGCAATTTGAGTAAATTAAGCTAACCACCTTTGCTATTAACATTAGAGTAGTGGCTTTAAGTGTCTTCTGGATGTGTAGTTCACTGTGTATGTCTCAAAGTTTCTCCAGGAAAGGTTCACAGTATTGCATACACAACTCCCAAATAAACAGAGAGAACTTTTCCGCACTACCATCTGGGCTCTCAAAGCTTCACCTTCACCAGGCAGTACGGCCACAGTGCCTTCAGTCACACTTACTGACTGTATTCAGCAAATTCAACAACCATCACCAAGGAACACAAGGCTTTCCAGGTAGACAGGTACTGCCTCGCTTTCTCCAGGGTGCTGTTGCCAGAGAAGGTGGGAGCTGATTTCCAAGGTGCTAGCAGAGAGAAATAGTTTCAGACATTGCTAAGACTGCACTTCCCTGCCCTCGTGTTCCTCTGAGCAGGTCTGCCCTGTGCTGGGTACTTTCATGCTGAATGTTCCAGCGGGCACTCGCTTTACTGCACGAGGGCTCAGAGAAAAGCTACTAAGAACAAACTTTTAGGGACAGTCCCCTCCCTTTCCCCCTTGCCTTCAGCTATGTGTCAATTAGAAAGCATTGAAAATAGCTCCACATTGACTCTTAAAATCAGCACTGGATATATGTCCTGAGTTCCTACAGAACTGTGGGCTTCATTCCACTGAGAGCTGTACGCTTTCAGTCTGTTTTGGTGGCTGCTGCTGCTGCTGTTCATACTTCCTTGCTGAAAAAAAGAAACACCAATCAACACTGATTATACAATTTATTTTATATTATTATTACTATTATTGTATTATTTATTACATACATGTATATATATGTACATATTTATGTTTATATATATTCATGTAACTATGACAATAATCAAGAAACAGATGTAACATCAGAGAACCTCATTTCAGCCACACAAGGGGGGAAGTTTCAGTCACCATGTGGAACTTCACCTTATAAATGCTGAACAGTACAGTCATAGCAAAATGTCAGTGAATCAATGGCAGAGAACTATGATTCCATTCAGCTCCTTTTATTAAAATAAAAATAAATAAAATTAAAGGCTATGGCTTCAGAAGTTTTACTACTGATGACGTGAACAGCTCAACAGTCACAAGGCTGATGTCCACATTTCTCATCTCCTCCACAATATACAAGCCACAAGCTAACAATTACACTGACTTCAAAATTAATCTGGTTAGCAAGGCAAAGGGACATCAAAGAGCTGGGTGCAGTGGTACAAACACCATCAGCAAATGCCAGCAGACATTCCACTGTAGGAAGAACATCCCATTTTGTTTCTACAGAATGCAATGGCCTGATGTAAGAATCTTTACATCAAGTCTTTGCATTTAAAAGGTGGTTTCGGATCACTAAGGGTTTTTTTGCTGTATTTCCTCTAGGCATACATGTAGGGCAGGTGTGAAGCAAGGTTGTGTTTCTCTGAATTGGACCACTGGAATATCACAGGCTTGGGGCTCTTTCCAGCCTCCATCCTGACCTTCAGCACTGAGATCCGAGCAGCAACACTTGTTGGTATAGTAAAATTCTAATTAATTTTCAATTTATGTGGTTATCTTACTCATCATTCCACAGTCCTCTCAACTTTTACAAGTCCGCCCACATTTTCACAACATCCAGACCTTCCTAGCTCTTTCAAAGTGTAACATAGGCATCGTTTTGACATTTGCTTTAGGACGATTGCACAGCCGCTCCCTCGCTCCGCACTTCCTCACGCAGCAGTCCTGCGGCCCCGGCTGCCGCCGAGCCCCCGCTCCTCACAGGGCGCCACAGCACCGGGGGCGTTCCCGCTGCACCAGCCTCCAGGCCGCCCCTTTAGGGACGGCCCCCAGCAGCCCTCAGGCCCGGGGAATCCCCCTTTCCCTCCGACTTACCGATGGAGTACATCTCCAGCTGCTGCCGCAGGCGGATCTTCTTCATGCTGTCGTAGAAGTTAGGCTCGGGCGGCGTCTCGGCGGCCGGGGGCAGGGTGAAGATGCGCATGATCCTCCTCTTGTTCCTGCGAGCAGGAGAGAGGGGGGCACGGCGGTGAGGGCGCGGCGCTGAGGGCGGGCGCCCCTCCACGTGCGGGCCCTGCGGGAGCCCCCGCCCCGCCCCGCCCGGGCCGCCTCTCACCGCCGCGCGTAGACGAGGAGGGCGAGGCTGGCCAGCACCACCAGCAGGTACACGTTGGTGGCCTCGTTCCACGCCTCGTGCACTGAGTAGTCGATGGCGCCGCCGTCGCCCAGCCCCGCCGAGGCGCCGCCGCCGCCCGCCCCGCCAGCCCCCGCCGCCGCTGCCGCCGCCGCCATGGGGAGCGCGGCCGGCAGGGGCGAACCCGGCCCCGGGAAGTGACGTCAGGGCGGTGCCGGGCGCCATGGCGGGGGGGCGTCGAGGGGCGGCGAGCGCTGTGATTAGCGCTGACAATAAACTGTGCCGGGGAACGCTAGTGCCGCTGTTGGCCAAAGTGTATACGCAGGAAAAAATTGTGATAGTCGGCGCGCCGGGTTTGCGGGGCGCCACCCAGCACCTGGGCTTGTGCACTGTGAAATAAATCAGAGAATCAGTGAGGTTGGAAAAGAGCTCTGAGGCCATCGAGTCCAACCCGTGAGCGAACACCACCTTGTCAAGCAGCCCATGGCACCGAGTGCCACATCCAGCCTCTCCTTAAACACCTCGAGGAGGGTGACTCTGCCACCTCCCTGGGCAGCCCATTCCAGTGTCAAATCACCCTTCCTGTGAAGAAATTCCTCCTAATGTCCAACCTAAACCTCTGCTGGCGCAACTTAAAACCACGCCCTGTCACTTGTCACCATGGAGAAAAGGCCGACCCTCACCCGGGTACAGGGTCCTTTCAGGGAGCTGTAGAGAGAATAAGCGATTTCTCTTTCAGGTGTGTAATTACTGGCTTGTTGCACGCCGGGTAACAAATCAAATTTTTCTGGACTGTCCCTGAGGCCCTGGGGTGCCTTTCCACACTTTCTTTCTTTTCTTTCATCCCACATCTCCAGGTAGCAGACCCTCGGGGAGAGGACATGCACAGGGGACCGCTTCTCTCCCAGGGGCACCGGAGATATAACAAGACAAGTCCCTCGGCTTTGCCGTGCCAGTGTCCAAGGGAAAGGCACAGCTGGATGTGGGGCCAGGAGACATGTGGATTCAGCAGCTCCAGGAGCCTGGCAGGCAAGGAGTCAGCTGGCAGGGCTGGCGCTTTTTCAGTGGAATTGTGTGGAACGCAGTGTGTGGTGTCAAAAATAAAGAAGAGGTTCAGATTGTCATGAGCTCTTGCTTTTCACATAGGAACTAAATGTGACAGTTTATATTTGTCAAAATAGAAAAACTCCCATTGCCAAAAATCACAATTCTAGGATTATGTTTTGGCAGAGCAAGTGTTTCAGCTCAGAACCTGGAAAAGTTTTCTGAACTGCTTACTGAGATGCAGGTAAACTAGGCTGCTCTAACACTCACACACACGCACACAGACTTTTTCCCTAATGCCTGATGTGGAATGTTTGAGCTACATGACAGCTTAGTTGTGCTTTTCACTAGAGCCTTCTGCTTCTTTCTATCCACCTCTGCCTCTGATACTTCCTTTTGCCATAGCTTCCTTCAGATACTAGAACTGTTACAATTTAGACATCAGTGATATGGTCCATGTCCCTCTGCTCAGCATGTGTTTGGGATATGTGCTTGTGTTATGGTTATCCATCTTCACCCTTTATAAGACAATAAAGGGGGGAAACCCAGGTATTTCTAGGGTGTGATTTATTTAACCTGTGTCAAACATTCAGAATCATGCCTCCTGTGCCTGGGAAATCTCTGATCCCTTACTGAGTGCAAGGAGTCTAGACACCTCATTTGGATGGCACTTGCTTTGCAGATGTCTAATCAGCCTGAGGAAACTCTATCCTTTGGGGAGCTGTGTTCTCACTGTGAGATGTTCCAAGTCTTTCTCTTTCCATGGTATGGAACAGATTCATTTTAAGAGGCCTTAGACCAGCACATAAAAGAATACGAGTGAAAATGACAATATAAAAAAAAACCAACCTAAGACACTGGTGTCATGAGAAAAGTTCCTTGCCCCACATGGTGTGGGAAAGGAGGATAGAATAGCAATTAGACATAATTCTAGGTCATTAAATTGGGATGGCACCCATGCACAGAACTGTGGAAACCACTGAGAGAAATTTAAAAAAAAGTCACTT